GTTATTTGATTTGATCAAGTGGTTAAAAAGGGAGCCAGCTTCCACAAGCTCAATAATTCTCTCCTGCTGAGCCAGACCTTCCAAAGTGAGGTGTGTAACTGTTGGGAGGGACAGAGGTCTGCGCGCCTAAGCACTGATCATCGATGGGAATGGTTTCAAAAGAGCTATTCCAACCTCTCAAGCACCGTGGCCAAAGTCTCTAGGAAGGTAGCGTCTATAAGGAAACAGAGGAAGCAATCACTAGAATTTGCGTTGAAATTGGCAGAAACCAACCTGGTAAACAMCCCCGCCTCACCTCTGTATAATGACCTGTTCGACAAGGCWCGAGAGGAAYTGGCCATGTGGAAATGGTGGGACCTGAGAGGCCTTCAAATAAGAGCGAGAATGTGCGAATACGAACTCAGCGATTCTATGACAAAACACTTCTTTGCCCGAATCAAGGCAAACTCGAGAGCTAGCAGGATAGAAGGTCTGAGGTCCCACACAACTTCGGAAACTGTAAGATCAGATAGCGAAGGTATGCTAGAGATAGCTAACGATTTCTACAAGGACCTCTACCACTCCAAGACCGAGATTCCGACACCCCCCAACATTAGAGAGGCAAGGCAGAAAATGCTACACTACCTAAAGCGAATAATATCAGTTGAACAGGCTGAAGCACTCGACAAACCAATCACACTGGAAGAACTACATCGGGCTTTACAAAGCATGTATAACAACAAGTCCCCTGGAATCGATGGATTAACAAAAGAGTTTTGGGAGAAATTATGACCCTTGCTAGGAGGTGACCTGCTAAACTTCTATACTGACAGCTGGTCCAAGGGAGGGCTGGGCAATCTTCTCAGCAGCAGTGTGGTCACGCTACTGCACAAAATGGTGAGAAAGACGACATCAGGAATTACTGACCCATATCGCTGCTAACTCTTCCATACAAAATCTTGGCTAAGACCCTGTCCGACCGGATTATCAAGATTACCAACAAATGCTTCCACATCGACCAAACAGGTTTCATCCCGGGTCGCTACATTCTAGACAATGTTATGACACTGAACGAGTCGGTAAGAAAAATCAGGGAAAGAAAAATAAATTCCGCCATTCTCTTCTTTGATTTTGAAAAGGCATACGATCAAGTAAACCGGGACTTCATGGAAGCAAGTATGGAAAGACTGGGAGTTGGACCTAACTTCTGAAAGTGGGTCCGGATACTGTACAAAGATGCAGTAGGCTGTGTCCAAGTCAATGGACTACTGTCAGATTGCTACCCGATCTCCCGCTCGGTCCGTCAAGGGGACCCGTTGGCCCCATCAACCTTTTTATTCGTAATGGAGGCAATCGCATCCTTCCTCCGTAAGGATCCATCAATTCAAAGACTAGCCAGCACCAACGTAGGATCAGCCCACCAGATGGATTTTCCCGCAGCTATCATGTTCGCGGACGATCTAACGGTCCTAATCAGAGCGTCCGATTCCTCATTCAGGACACTAGCTAAAGCAATGGAAGCGTTCACACGAGCCTCAGAAATGAAGATCAACTGGGGAAAAACAATTGGCTGGTGGCTATCCGAGGAAGAGCCCCGTTCACTCCAAGGCGACGAGGCGACTTTGACATGGCAAACGTCGGACACACCCACCCGCTATCTGGGCATACTAATGACGAAGGACTGGCTCCCCAAATGGGCCCATCCATGTTGGCCAAACAGATCAATAAAATCGGAAGGTGGGGCAATGCCTTCACGTCCCTTATTGGTCGAGCGCTAGTCCTCAATACATCGGTCTTTCAATGATGTGGTACATAGCCTCCATTTGGACAGTCCCGGACAGCTCGGTTAAGGAGTTGAACCGAAGAGTTAGGCTTTATCTATGGACAGGAGACCCCAGCAAGGACAAGGGCATATCTAAGATCGCCTGGCAGACAGGAGACCCCAACAAGGACAAGGGCATATCTAAGATCGCCTGGCATTATGTTACAAGAAGGCCACGAAACGGAGGCCTAGGAATTATTGACCCCGGAACAGAAACAAAAGTTTGTAAGTCAAATGGATCATCAAACTGCTGATGAAGCCGGGCAACGCCTAGAATAATCTGGCGCTGGATAGTATCAGATCTGTGGCCCCAGTTCCCTCCCCCAACAATATGTCAGGTCTGTTTTGGGTAATGAATAAAGAATGGGTGATAACCACAGGACGTAGGAATCGAACGAGGAATAACAGACTCGATGACTGTCGACCACCCACGCCTTACTGGCCGGCACTACTCCGATCCTGGAGGAAAATATTTCCCAATAAGATAAACAGACCCAAATCCAAGGATGAAGTACTAAGGCAACCGCTCTTCGGGAATGAATGGATAACAAACGAGGCGGACAACCCACTCTTCCTAGAACAGAGGTGGTTGTCCTGGATCAAGAACGGTATCTGGAAAGTTGACCACTTATGGAAGGAGGATCAAAAGGGCTGGATAACGGAACAAGAAGTCAGCTCCCGACTGAAAGGATGCCACAGATGAAGGACCAATCTCCAGTATATACTTAGCTGTATCCCGCAGGAATGGAAAGATATCCTGGTAAAAGACGAATCGTGGAGACCGGGTGAGTGGGACTTATGATTCAAGACGTAACCCCCTCTAGAGCCTTTCAATTGTCCCATTTGCAGCAAGGCTCACACACTAGGGCCACTTTCCTCTCTTTCCCGATTTCCCTCACCAATACTGGTACGCCAACTATCTTGAACTGCGATGTAGAGTCGTCAGTCTTAGAATCCTTCCTGCTCCGGAAAGTAAAGGTCCTAGGGGCATGGCCAAAGTCAATCTTCAGACCTGACACTACAATCCGTAGCTTGGAGTTCGATCCAGCGGAATGGGCGTGGACGCCAAATAGGGCCAGCAACATTAAGACCAAGATTCCAATCCAGGATTGCACAGTCAAACTTGGGTACAGACTCTCTAAAGACCAAAAATCCGGACCCTATTATCAAAAACAGATGGCGGAACGTCGTCGAGCAGGAAGCAGACAAAATCACACGAATCCACTGGGAAAAATTCAAACGCATCAGACCAATCAAGATTAGAAGTTTGCAGTGGCTGATTGCGTACGCAGCCCTACCGGTGAACCAATGGCTATACACTAGGCGGAAAGCCGCAGACCCCAACAGCTCAGAGTTATGTACAGTCTGCACCGAAGGCGCTGTAGAAGATATCGTTCACTGCCTAGTGCTTTGTAAAGAGGCTACTGAATACTGGGCGAGAGCTTCATCACTCTGGGACTCCCTCTTCACATCTCCCTTCCCCGAGCAACCCATTCAACTTCTCCTCTTGACTAACATCCCTGATCAAGCGCAAAAGGCAGAAAGGATCTGGTTTGAACTCATCAGGAAAGTGACCCTATGGGTCATATGGAAAGAGAGATGCAGCAGGACAATTGAGGGGYGGTCTAACCCACRGGAGAAGGTGTGGWTAGAAACCAGAACATTGRWACAAGCTGAGATCCTCTGCAGATGGCGGAAGACCAAACAAGCTTGGACAAAAGACGAAGAGCAGCGTAAGAAGGAGAGGCAGAGATTCTACAGGAATTGGCTGATAAATGGCAAGATTGCAGAATTGCGAGAGGACCGGGTATGCTGGAAGGAGTGGCACAATTCAGTACCAGAAAGAGGCTTTCACCAGCAGGCAACGTCTGAGGGCATATTCGCATCCTAGGCCTCAATCGAATGTAAGCGGCCCCTCATTGCCCCAGGGGGTACGAACAAAGATGAAACATGGGAGAGAGAAGGACAAGTTAGAGTAGGTGAAAATACGGGAGCATGAACGCGGGTTACAAAGGAAGGCTTTATCGCAGGGGTCCTGAAGCAAATCAATGCCTGCCAATTCCAAGACCGACTATTGGAGGTTGGGCGCACAGGCGAGGGGTTTAGGGTTTAGGGTTTTATCGTAGATCTTCCAAAGGGGCAGGGAGGTGTGTGGGGAGGAAACAGGTCGGCAAGGATAACGGATGAGCTCTTTCTAGGGACAATGGCGCTATCTGGCAGACCTGGACTCCAGGTCTGAGAGGAAAGAGAGGGATAGGGCAAGCTGACAGTCAATCCTCCACCGCGGTGGAGCAATCAATGCTGTTCAGGGATCCTTCGGCCTGACGGAAGGAAGGGTGTGTGAGTGTTCTTGATGTAATGTATATTTTGACTTGCCGGTGGAATAGGAACCGGACTGATGCTCCCCAGAATAAAAGGAGCCAGGACCATAATGGCCCTGTTTTGTTTAAAAAAAANAAAAAAAAAAAAAAAAAAAAAAAAAAAGGACGTCCCCTGGAGACAGGCGAGGGACGACTTCACACAGGCTCTGAACACAGAATACCAGGCGGATTGGAACACGACCAGGCGGAGAATCACGCGAGAGCCAGCAAATAGACATAACGTAATGGTCAAAGTCATGAAGGAAACCTTGGGCAATGGGAAACTGGGCATGCTAGACGGCGGCCTGCTTAGGTGTGTATGGTGCATGGGGACACATTTGGATCAGTGCCACAAGCTCCATGGAGAGACTCGCTCATCACGGAGTGACCACGGGAGGGGTGAGTTAGCATCGGATTATAGATAGCCGAGGGTTTAGCGTTTTAAAAACAGATGAGAGGGACAAAGTGGGCTGCTTTTGAGAATGTTTCTTTGGGAGGGTTAGATGACAGGGGGCAGGGATATGCTCCGAGGAATGGGCTCAACTGGCAGTCAATCCTTCCCAACGGAAGTAATCAATGCTGTCAGGGTTCCCCGTGCCGTAACGCAGCGAAGCGTGGGTCTGAGTTGTATCCAAATTATTCGCCTTGCGGATGGAATAGGAACTGAACTGATGCTCCCCAGAATAGAAGGAGCCTTGCTTGTCTTCTTCTTTTTTTTTTTTTCAAGTTCGAGAGACTGGTGGTTTAACGCTTGTCTATGCTGTTTGCATTCTTATGTGGAATCTAACACACGAGCGCTCAAATCATTCAACTGATATTATCTTGATGTGACTGAGCAGGTTTAAACAGGCTTCGTCACCCAGGAAACAAGTTTCAGTGCTTGTTGACTTAACGAACGACATTGGAGGGACAATGGTTCTCCCAGGGGGATATGACAAGAGGACAAAGCTTGAAGTCGTTCGTACCACTCTTCGGGAGCTTGCCAAGACCTTTCGAGAATCTGACGATGTGGCACTTACGATATTTCCATCTTGCAATTATACAAGGGTAATGTTCCTTGTCAGTGTCAAGATGTGGCTATTCTCTGTCATGCAGTGTCTCCCTTTCATTTGCATGGTCTGCCCAATGCATCTTGGTTGACAACACCACACACCAGGTATAATGGTTAACGGGGACCCCGTATCTTCAGGTCCTGTCCAAAGGGCCCAGAGGGCCAGAACTGAATATAGGGTTTGGGTATGGCTTGCAGTCTATGTATGGTTGACAGGTTTCATTAAAAAGGCCTTTGGGTTTTCTTATAAATGGCATGAGAAATTTCTGAAAATGCAGGCCTCCGTTAACCTTCTCTCTAATATTTTAAGCTCATCAACTTGTGATCACTTTCCAAATGTGAAGTAAAAGCTTTGGGCTACTGCATCCTGTTTGTGGTTCTTTGGGCTTGTATTTTGGTTGCATTGTTTCTCTACATCTTATGGCTGTTGCAGGCCTTGTACGTTAGAGGCACAGTAAAAAGGGAGCGGGACAACGAATTACAAGGGGTACCCTAAAGGAAGACAAAGTAAAGATAGCAAAGATTGGATTGTACAAGAAAAAGGTATAATATAACGGATTTATTCAATTTTATTGTGCTTGTGTTGTACTATAGAGAGGCTGTTGTGGTGACAATTTACAGTAAAAAGGGAGGGGGATGAAGAAATAAATGGGGTACCCCAAAGGAAGCCAAAGTAAAGATAGCAAAGATTGGATTGTACAAGAAAAAGCAAAAATATACCGGATTTATTGCGCTTGTGTTGTACTATAGAGGCAAAACGTTTTCAACATTGGATTGCTCATCTTTAGTGTGCCTCAGTGTGCTTCATCATCTCCTATAGTGGTAAAGCTGCTTCAATTTTCGACATACTTATCTGGGTGGAAAAGGGGCTGTTGTGGTGACAATTTACAACACACACACACATACACACACAAGGGCTTCGTCAACTATGATGGATTGAACACTTACTATGGTGGATTGAACATGTACCGGTACATAGATATGTCTCCCACCCAGAGATACGAGTATGGCTCGAGTCCATTGTCTGTCTCGTTTGGTGCTGTGATTTCGTTATGTTATGAGTTGAAACTGACCTTAATTGAACAAACGATGTTGCTTTTCGCTTGTCTATGTGACTAATTATGTTGCTTTTGGCTTGTCTATGTTACTGACCTCCTGGTTTTGTTTCAGAAGTCTATGTCCTGTGGTGGCGGTCACCGTAAGGGCGCGGTTTCTTGCCCTTTCCTTCCGCGCAGTGAGTATAGTTAGCTCCCCACCCAAGGTGTGCCAGCCTCAAGTGCGGAGTACTCCTACTCATCTCACCCTTGCAGGATGTTCTCCTTGACATAAACCTTGTACACAGAGTTCCGGGTGATGATTGGAAACTCCTTCTTAACAGAATAGCTAGTCCTGCTGTGCCCGACATCTAGGGCGGTTGCCTGGAGCACACTAACAGGTGGAGGCATTCTGTGTACTAGCTGAGCCATCGCTTGGGAGACTTTGTGGCGAGTGCCTTCTGCAAGGGACGTCGGCAGCCTCCCCGTGCTGAGCCGACGGGCCTAAAACCCTGGACCATGGCTTTACCCTTGTACTACACTCCCTCTTTCTACTTTTTGTGAACCATGTCTCACAAACCTTCCCTTTCTAAGAAAGGAGAATTTCCTGATTTTGCAAAATACCATACCTATGATGTCGACGATACAAGGTGAGAATCAGGAAAGGAACTTGAACGGGGATTCCTGTGCTAGTGGCGCAGCACGAACCCCATGTCCTACTCATGATCCTCTCTGTGGTAACCCCCCTTGCTCTTCCTCTGATCACCGCTATGCACGACAGTGTAATAGAGTTGATTGGGTTGCACATCATGAATGGAACACTAATCTCTATGATGCAGGGCGTTGGTTTAAAAAAGCGACTCTGCTATGTAGCACCTGCAGCCCGGGCGGGACAATTTGAACTGCAATTGCGAGGCATCGATCAGAGCCCCATTCAGCCAGGAATGGATGCTCTTTCAGCCCCTGGGGTTATTTATGCCATTATCCACATACCATCTTGAAACGGTATTCACCAATTCGTGGTAGCTGAGGCAGATCCCAGGGCTTGATCCCTAGTTCCCCAACTTACCTGTGTATAATATCTACGTCAACTCGAAGAGTTGAACCTGCGACCTGTAGAACCGCCAGTGGTAGGTAGATTGTCGTAGGGCACAGGA